TTACAGACAGTTCCTGTAAGCCCCCCCCCAAAAAAAGGTAAGGGACAAAGCTCATGTACAGGCTACTCACGCAGCAGCCTCTACAGCCCACACCTGCCTTTCTTCTGGCAATCGCAGCCTTAACAAAGCACCTGCAGCTCATTAACCCCCCCAGGGCCTCTCCCACATAAGGGAGTGCCTGGGCACCCATATTTTCAGCTGCAAGGTGTTCATGGTGGTGGGTGCTGCAGCAGGACTGTGCAGTGAGCAGACAGGTATGCTACACACCCCTGTTTCTTAAATCTGTGTTTGTAGGGCTGGGATGCTCCTGCTGGGGGTGCCTGCTGCCTTTGTCCCTTCTCTGGGTCACGGTCCGGCTGGACTGCTCCTGTGTGCTGCTCCTTGCAAATGGGCTGGCTGCAGGTCACTTCTTTCCATCCTCATGTTAACATATTGCTTGTTGTAAGTTAATATCAGATAAACTAATTTAAGCTGCTTCTGTACTGGATGTCTTGGATTAAATTGGCATGGTACCTAATGAAGCTGAAGCTCCATTTGTTGTGCTGGAAGCCCTAAATATCAGCAGTGTAATTGGTGCTACCTACTTTAGAAGACATTTGTGTGTTTTTCTCCCAGCTAAAAGCCCTGCGAGGGTGCTGACTCTGAAGCCTGAAGGGTGCTGGGGAGAGGCAGGAGGGCTGTAGGATGTGTCCACCTGGCTTGTAGGCTGGAGGGGTCTTGAAATTTGGCTTTGGAGCTGGAGGACAGATGGGGTGAGCGTGCCCAGCCCTGTGCACGTGTTGTGCTCTGGCTGTAGTGAGGCTGTGCTGGCTTGTGTGCATGGGAGCAGACCTCGTGCGGGTGTTGGGGCTGGGCTCAGTGCTCTGATGTGGTCACACACCTCATTTTGTTGGGGTGAGCTATGAAAGCAGCATCTCCTGGGGTGCTGGGACTGGGCCAGGACACAACTGGATGGCTCTGATCTTCCCTGGGGTAGTGAGTGCCTGCAACCCTGAGTGCCTTGTCAGGGGTGTGCAATGTGTTATTTGGGTTTATTGGGGAGGGCTCCCATAGGTGCTGGCTGCTTGCTGGTGCTTGGGCACGGTTCTGCACCTGTGGCCCAAAACAGCACTGCTGGATGCTTGTTTTAGGGTGATTTCTAGGCTGATGTCCAAAGTATTGGTGTTTTTCCTATGTTTATCTCCAAGCTTTCCCTGCTGGTTTGGGTTTTGAGGCTGAACTGAGCCCACAAGCCCTCTGGGATAGCCGCTGTGTCCTGGTGTGACGTGGCCAGTTGGTCAGGCCATAGGTGACCTCCCCAATGTGCCATACCATGCTGGGCTGGGGAGTGGGGATCCCAAGGGGAAAAGTCCTGGGCAGGGAAAGAACTGCAGTCACCTCCATCATTAGTGAAACATGGCTCATTAACAGGCCCAGGTTTGGCACTGCAGGGCAGGAACTCAAACCTCTCCCGTCACCTGTGAATCCCCCTTCAGCAGAGTGAGCTGCTGCTCTCCCCGTGGGCTCTCAGTGCTGGGAGGGGATCAGACAGGCTGCTAATTAGGGGATGAAAGAGCAGTCTGGGCAAAACCAGTGCTGCAAGACTTTCAGCTGGGATTGCCCTGGTGAGGCTGTAATTTCCCCTGTTGGAAGCTGCAGGGCTCAGACAAGAGGGTCTTTTTGGGTCCCTCCCAGAGATGGGGTGCTGCTGCCCTGGCCGGGGGTCCCTGTGCAGGGAAGGATCCCCACCTCCTCCTGGGGAGGAAGCCACTCATGCAGCTGGTCCCGCTGCCCATGCAGAGCTGCCCAGCTGAAAATGGGGAAATGCAAAAAGCACATTGGGTCCCTGCTGGGAGCAGCGGCAGCTCTGGCTGGAGCCTTTGCCTGGCCCAGCTTCCCTCCAGCACCCAACCCTGCAGGGAGTGGGTGAGCCCAGACCAGCCAGAGCATGTGCCTTCCCCAACAGGGTGCTGGCAGCATGATGCAAGTTCCTCACTGTGCCTCAAAGCTGTGAAAAACAACCTATTCTTAAAAAGCTCTCCTGAAAAACGCTGTCCCGGTCCCCCACATCGGCTGCTGCATGGCTCTCAGGGTCGGGGAGACCCAGGCTCCAAAATCATCCCTAGGGGAGCAGGGGTTTTGAGCTGTAGGATGAAGATGCTGGCAGAGCAAGTGCTGGCAGCGCTGCCTGCCCTGCCAAACGGTGCAGCAGCCTCCTGCTCGCCGTGGGTGTTTGGTGCAGAAGGGAGCTACTAATGACGGCGTTGCACCTCCCGAAATGCTGTGCTCTCGCTCCGTCTCGGGCACGCAAAGGAGCGGAGCGCTCCTCTCCCCAGGTTCGTTGCCAGCCCGTGGGGCAGGGGCTGCCCTCCCGGGATGGATCCTCCAAACTCCCCGTGTTCGAGCCGGCCCCTGCGATGCCAAGTGGAAGGGCCGTGGGCAGGAGGGGAGGCAGCTGAGCCTGCCCATATGCTTCCTAATGGGGAGCAATAGCAGCTCTTGCCGGGAAGCTCACGCTGCACCATCTGCTCTGCCGCGGTACCTTCTCTTGCAGAGCTTTTTTAAGCTCTTAACTTTCCTTCCCAAGCGCTCTGCGGCGGCTGCTTGCGTACGGGCTGTCTCCGCTTTGTAATCGCCTCGAAACAGGTTGTCTGAACCTTCAGTGCTGAGCGGGAGAACAGCCCAGACAGGCTGAAGTCAGCCAGGCCTCCAGGAACTGTGCTTCCATTTAAAAATAACCATGAAAGTGGCTGTGAACGGCAGCAGCGCGTCCCCAGCGCCTTCCTTCTTGCTGGGCACCTGCTTGCCCCGAGGGTGCTGCCTCCCAGATTTGGTCTGGGTGGGATGCACTGCCCGTGGCGGTGTAGCTGCAAGGCTTGCACAAACCACTGCTAAACCCATGTCCCATCCCTGTGCAAAGGAACTATTTATTTCTAAGTCACGCTGCATGTGCAAAAGGCCAAAGGCCAAACCCAATGTCTCCTCTGGGTCCCTGCTGCTTGCTCACGCCTTCGCCAGCTGTGCAAAGGGGAAATAACAACAACTGCTGCACTGGGCTCCCCAGGAGCAACGCTGGCCACAAATTATTTTACAGTAGGAGCAGCACTGGCCTCCAGCTGCCCCGCGGAGCTCCCGGAGGGAGGTGCGGTGCAGATGCCTGGGGAAGGTCGGTCCCGGCTCCCAGCAGCAAAGTGAGCTAAATTAAGGCTGGATGCAACACATGGGCGTAGCTGGGGCCGAGGGGGAGGCTGGCGGGAACACGCGCAGGCTGACGCCGTGCGCAGATTGACGGTGCCAAGTCACTTCAGATATCTTTGCTGTTTGTTTGTGTGAAGCTCTAAATAAAGCTGACAGCCCCAGCGGCTGCCCGGGGAGGGAGGAGGGAGCCGGCAGCCGATCCCCCTGGGCACAGCACCCAATGCTGCCCTTGGGGTCCGGCCCGGTGTGGGAGAGCAGTTGGGTGTGATCTGGGATGCTGCGGCACGGGTGGGTGCTGCTGGGTGCTACCTGGTCGTGCTGGGGCTGGAAGGCTCTGGGCAGGTGGAGGGGAAAGCAGGGGGGGTTTGGGGACCTGCTGGGAGCTGCCAGCATCAGGTCTGGCTGCAGGTGATCGTTCCCATGCAGGGCACTGGGGAGCAAGCTGGTCCCTGTCCTGGCCTTGCTGAAATGCCTGTGGCTGGTGGGAGAAGCTGCAACAGGCATGGACAGTGGAGAACGTGTCCTTGTGCCTCCCCTGGGAAGGACTTTGTGTCAGGGAGAAGCAGGGCAGTGTAGAGACACACGTCCCATGGGTGCTCACATCCAGACACCCTTCTCCTCTTCCACACCCTTCCTCGGTCCTGTCTCCCATTGCAGCTGCCTCACCCTCAGGCTCTCGCCTCTCTCTGCCGCCAGCTCCTGCTAAGCCTGTCCTGCTGAGGGGACACCATGGGGATGTCCCCATGCTCCCAGGGTGCGTCTCCGGTACCTCTTGCTGAGAGGGGTGCAGGTATCTCCTCTCCCTCCCCATCCACCCCCCAACTGTCCGGGCTGCACCAGTGTCCCCTCCTTGCCCTGACCCCCACGGGTTGAGCTGCCCTGTCCACGTGGCACCTCCAAAACGCCGCTTGTGCCTCTGCCGCGGGCTGTCCCAGCTCAGCCGCTGGCCCTCCGCAGTCCCTTGGGTGGCACAAAACCCCCCGCACATTAAGCCCCCCCCCCCAAATCTGCCTGCTCCCCAGCAACCCAGTCCTAGCGCAGGGATGCTGGGCTGCGTGTTGTGGTTGTGCTGGCCCTGGCACACGAAGCCTGTGGCAATCTGGGGGGGGGGAGAACGGGACACGGGGACCCCAGCCACCCTCTTCCAAGCACTGGGGCCACTGCCCCATCCTTCCTCCGTGCCCCGGCCCCCCCCGCGTCCTGCCAGCCGTGGGTGCTTCGGCTTGCCCCGGGGGGAACCGGGGGTCCACGGGACCGGCCCGGGGGGTTCTCCCCCAGCCCACCTTAAGGCAGCAGCACACCGGGGTGCCCTTACAAAACCAAGTTTGCTCCGGGTCGGGCGGTGCTGGTTTCGTGTGTGTGTGTGTGTCCCTCTCTCTCCGCCGCCACCGGGAAACCGGCCTTAAACCGGGGCTGCTCGGGTTGGGGAGGGGTCGGTCCTCTCCCAGCCGGGGCCGGCCCCGGTCCCGGTCCCATCCCACCCCGGTGCCAAGGCAACGGAGGCGGTGTCGGCGGCGGGGAGGCCGGCGCGGGTCCGCCCCGCCACGGGGCC